TTCTCCCTGTCCTATCCCCAGTCATGTCTGTCCCATCTTTAAAAAACGAAAATAAAATAAATACATAATTATAATAAAGGTCAATCAAATGGACCAATATGGCAAGGCCATGATGATCCACTTGGTAAAGTAAATCCACTTGGCATCTTTCTTGGCCTTCAGACAACAATTCTGACGGCTAAAGATTCAAACGGGACACAAAAAAAAAAAAAGTTCATATAAAGTAAGTTTAAACAAAACTTATTCTGAACCTTTAGTGGCATGCACCTTAAAGAAATTATTAGTAAAATTAAAAATATTAGTAGTAAAACAGCTGACTTTAGAGCTTTTACTGAGTGTCCTCTTGTCTTTAGAACTCTCTCCCACATTCACAACATTGATTCTCTCGGCATCTTCATAACCAGATTTAAAACAAATCATGTGTTTTTAATTTTATGTTGCACTGACATGTAATTATGTCACCAAGTTTTGGCCCAGATGTTCTTTATATACACACCAAAAAATTTAAAATTAATTTCTATGGAGAGAAATCAGCAGATAAAATTTAGCAGTTACATCACACACTGCCACGAGACTGTGCTGTTCATGCAGACATGTGACAAGCCTCTATTACACCCACTAACTGGTCATCTAACCCATCTGCCTAACCCCTCTCCCACTCATGTCTCATTAAAAACTAAATGAATACTAGCAGGTGTTGCTTCCCATGTGTCAACCAACAAGACAGACTGCCACGAGGCTTTTCTGTTTGCTATTAATTTCTGTATCTTATTAATAATTATTCTTGATAATAAAGAAGCACTTATTGTCCTTAACAAAAAAATTAATTAAGACATAATATTTGTGTTATCACGATATGCTGTGAGCCCCAACTTTATTTATATACAGCAATCTGAGAAGCCAGGCTGTTCTGCAACTTAATTTAAGGTTTAAATCAACACAAGCTTTATTAATTTGTTTAGTTTTTATTGGCCAAGGTTTGTTTGTTGGAGATGATTTTCTTTAATATTTGACTTAAAAATGGATGGAATGAGTCTAAACACCAAGCTTAACAACATTATTGGTAAGTAAGTGTAAGCCCATTGGCTTTAATTCTTTGATGTTAACGACAATATTTTTGACCTTTTAAACTAAGTAGTTTCTTTCAACCATTTAAAATGAATGATGTAACAGATTAAAAAAAATGCTGATTTTATAAAATAAACTCACCACAAATTAATTATTTTGGAATATGCAGTACTCTGAAACTCCTGCATTTGAGTTCCTTTTTTTGACGAACATTTCTTCAGATTCTCTCCTCCATTTATTGTGAAGGTGACTGATATCTTCATTATAACTATAATCCAGATAGAAACTCTGTTAAAATGAGTGATTGACCACTTCATTGCTCAGTGAGCTCTCTCGTGTCCTGTCTCGTGCTCGTATGAGCCTGTGTGTCCATGTCAATGGTAGATTGCAGCAATTAGGCTCAAAATCCCAAAAAAGAAGTTTGTAGTTTGAGCAGCAATTCTGACCAAGAAGAACAAAAACAAAGTTAAGGAAAATTGCAATGAATCAATGAAAAGATAAAGTAGATCAGGGAAGGCAAACGTGAACAGTTATGAAAGGACATCAGTATAAAAATGTTGTTAATAAAAACAAGTGAAAGCAGGAACTTTAACATCAGTGTCATCAGTGACGACCCGTGGCCCACATCTTAATTCTGTTTTTTAGACACAAGCAAAAACAATTTTTGGAAGAAACAATGTAAATAGTTTTTGATGGATACCAGCCAGAATTTTCTATTGGTGCCCTAACAGCCAAGACAAAAAAAAGCCATATTATGAAGCCACTTGGTTAGGGTCATGACTGATGAGGACTGAGACCGAGGGGTTTTTACAGTGAGGACAAGCAGAGCCTTTATACACATCTGAAGGATAAGGGATCAGACCTTGACTGGGATTCAAATGAAAGACATGAAACTCATTATCAGTTTAAGAGTAACAGGCAGATAAGAAAGAATTTAAAAATATTTTGGTAATCTTGTGAAATCTATTCCATCAAGTTATGCAAAAAAATGTAATAGGCTTTTTAAACAATTTGTATCAAAATAACACATATGAGCCAAGTTCATTTATTTGTAAAGATTATTATCAAAATTCAAAGGAGCTGACTAAGATATAAGGTTTCAACATTCAACAAATAATATTTTAAAGCGCTGAGAGGCTAAACTCATTATGCTGCTGTATTGTGGTCACATGCAAAAGGGGTCATCATAGCAGGTAGCTCTGTGTGTTTGATTTGGCAGACTTCTACGTCAGAAGCTTTTCTTGACACAACAACATAGGGGATTTGTGCCTCCTCTTTTATTTAAACATGTAAAATGACTATACTATGGAGATCTTGATACCAAAGCTGAATATATTCACCTATCAATAATATACTAAATAGTATGTCATGTCACATTCATTGTTTTCATGTGTTTTCTACATCATATATATTGCATACCTAAGAAGTTGTGTAATGACCGCAGAGTTGTGTCTAGATGGTGTGTCTTTACCAAGATCAGCTCAAGCAGATTTGGTGCATTAGCTGACCTTGCTATGGTAAAGAACAATCGGCATTAGTGATGAGTAGATTCGTTTTATTTAATAAATGCTTTTTGGCTAATATTAGTTGCTAAGGTGGATATAGTGCATCATTGATCAGTCAGGCCACCAGGAGACAGAACCTTTGTTTTACTCTTACTTAGTGCAAAGTAAAAGATTATTATATTAGACTGCTGAGGTTCTGAGGAAATTCTTTTCTTCTGCAATTTCACTGTATGCTGACACGTTTTAGAAACAGGCTATGTCCATATGGTATAGAGTTTTAAAAATTAGTCTGCTGTTGTAGCCTTTGTTTCGTTTTCTAAGTAGCTCACAAATCATTTGTTGGCAACACAAATGTTTGTAGCGTATTGTAACTACCAGCTGGAGAAAGAAATAGTAAAGTGCCCTTTAAAAGAATTCTGTTGTTTTCTATAAAACACGGTATGCTTTATCAACAGATCATTTTTACCCCTTAGCAAATCATGTAACTGGTAAAAATAAACCATCATCTCATAGTGAATTTTGGGGTGTGCGGGACACACATGCAGATGTTGCAATACCAGCAGGGGGAGATAATATATTTAAAGCCAAGTTCCTTTCAAGGAAGGTGTGAAGTACATTTCAGAGTCCTTCTGTGCCAGAAAAGATTAAGTTAATATGTATTTACATGTAAATGTGTTAGTAATGTCTCTTAAACACTTTCCCAGGAATATATATATATTTTGTTGTTGGCTTATTATTATGTTGGCTTGAAATAAAATATCTGCTGGTACTGGAACTTACTGCAACTTGTGCTTG